GTTTTTACAATAACATTTTCGTCATATGTATTTTTTTGCGAGCTCATGGGCCAATTTTGCACTGAGCCCTTAGGTTTCTAAGTGATGCTTGATTGTTCCCGTTAGGAGGAATGTGAACGATTGAGGCCAAAGACTACGCGTGTGGAACTATAGGTAAGCAGGTTTTTTGGTTTACGTTCGCATTCATTGCAATATTTCCTATACCAAAAACAAGCAGAATATCGCATATTCGAAGAGGGAAAGCAGGTTACTGATGGAGGAGATCATTTATTGAGAACGATAGTATTGGTTGCGAGGATGCATCGTTAACCATTCGTCGTTTTGTGGCTTCCTTGTGTAGAATGATCACGGCGTAACACAGGAGATAGTGAATAATTACACCTTTTTGGCGTATTGGTTCGTTGAATATCTCAATGATATTCTTGTAGTTGTCGCATTATAGGTCCGTTATATTTCAGAATCACAAGAGGTTTTTGTCAGTGTGGCGACTGTCGCCTTGACTCGTCGTATTGCCTTGCCTTTGTTCTCGGGTAGTACAGTTGAATTGCTTTTCCACGGAAGTCGTACGTAATACCCATCGTCTCATCTTTTTACCGTTTTTACAAACTGCTCCCAAATTTTGACATTTTGCTGCTCTTGTTCATCTATTTTTGATCCTGTGAATTCATCAATTCCTGACGATTCGAATGTTCAAAAATGTCCCTATGGTTGATGTTCGTATGGTTCATGGTTGAGCACTGTAGAATCTGGGGTGAGAAGTGTACTTTCTTTCGATGCAATCTATCGCTTGTGGTTAGCTCTTACTATCGGGTAACTTAATTTAGAGGAGACTAGCATTAATCCTGATGGTGATGTTTTCTTCGATCCTTGGTTACTATCTGGGGTGGTTAATGTAGTGGTTAGGTAGTTGTTGTGCAATAAACATTGCATGCCTTCTTAATTGGCAGATCGCTGTGCCTATGTCGAAACAATACCGGTTAGTATCCATCTGCAAGTGGAACTGTTGGTAAATGGTATGACTTAGTAAGTAGGCAGCTCAGAATTCTATAGACAATTCCTCAATCAGATAGAGAATTCTCTATCTGCATAACTAATACAGTCCACGGATCGATGAGGATCGCGTGGCTCTAACGCCGCGCGCGTCCTCTGCTTCCATATCCCGTTCTGGCCATAGGACACACCCAGTAGTCCCGCCATTTGACCCAATGACGCCGTGGAGACCGTCCTCGCCAGCTCCATCATTAATTTCACCCCGTTTGATTTTACCTCGCAGATTCATTTGCTTAGGTCATAATGATAGTATATGTAATCCTTAGCCCTTGAATCGCTGACACATTAATGTTATCATTGTTTTTTGTGTAATTATGTTATCCGTGTTAATATAAGTTAAATACGTTCATTGCTCACAGGTACCTCACAAACGGTTCATAGTTCTTGCGCACCCTCGCGAACGCCCCTCACATCCTTGAGCTGTGAGCCGTTACATTGGTGTGTTGACCAAATCGACTCGAACCCAAAGGAACACGCCAATCGATTCAAACCTCAAGGAGCAAGAAACGCTCATCAAAAACCAAGAACCAAACCTCAACACGGGAATCTACCTACAAGTACGTTACATTAATTCTCAAAAGAAAAAACAATGACAACGATCCTGTCCGCTCGCCAAAGACAATTAACAAAGGCGATCAATCGCCTCGTATCCACCTTAAATAGCTATCAGAATGAAATAGACACGCCAGTAGACATTCCGTCCGAACAAACTAGCAGAATCGAGTACATTACTGGACGGCAAAGGAAGATAGAACACGCAAAATCGGCCATTGAACACGAACGAAACAGCGTCCTGACCGCGTTGGATGCTCATGCCATGATGGCAGACCAACTCCAGGAAAACCCCAATACGCAAGCAAAAGACGAGCTGCAACGCATTGTCAATAAGAACGTAGAAAAAACAGTTGAGCACCTCGACGAGGCGGAACGCTGCCTCTCTAAACTCATCGACTTAGGAAAAACGTTGGAAGACATCGAGTCATACCCACGAAGGGAGTCAAATGTCCATCCACCTCTGGCGAATCTACCACCCATCCCTATTCCGAAATTCAACGGAGACATAGGGAGTGGGAAGTATTTTGGGAAGCATTCAATTACAATGTGCACTACCGCCGAATGGACGACCTCCAAAAAATGACCTACTTGCTGGACGCCCTTCAGGGAGAAGCAAGAGAATGCGTCAGTATCAAGTATCGCAAAGTACTTATCCGATAGTAATACAGCATCTGAAAGAAAAGTACGACAACAAACAAGCTCTCGTCCGTGATTTGTTACGTAGACTACGTACAACAGAAGCAAAGACTGAACGCCTCGAAGATCAGGAAAAATTGTGTGAAACCCTTCACTCCATAGTTGTTCAACTGCAACAAAAAGGGAACTCAACAATACTCTGCTCCTACAGCAACTACTGTTAAAGAAATTCACATAAGAGATTCAAAGGCATGCTCGGCAAAAAAGACGACAGAGAGCAGAAGAGGCACGAACATGCGAACTGCTAAAGGATGTCAAAGACTACGTAAGAGAGGAACTAGAACTACGGGACCGAGAGCAGGAAAAGCCCACGTTAAGAACGGAACATGTAAGTCAGCCAGAAAGGACGTTCAGAACTACACGATATACATGCTTCTACTGCAATAAGGGAGGACTTATCATCGCAGCATCGCAGGACACTCACCAAACGATTGTTTGATAAGAACTCAACAAGAAAGAGTACAAATTATTAAAACGCGCAACCTCTGTTACAATTGCGGGTCATCATCGCATCAGCTGCCCGACTGCAAAGCGGGCCCGTGCCGAAACTGCAATAAACACGGACACCACACGTCCATTTGTAGGTATCAGTACGGACCGACTGAATACAAGCCGAGAAAAAGAGGAAACACTACAAGTGACAGAACAAAGGCACCTTCGAAATTACCAAATACCATTCCAAGGGAGAAGAAGCCAAGTTCATCAAAAATCAATACGGTAACTTCTGATCAGACAGAGCCGGAGGATACCGTCGTTCTTCATACTAGGAGAGAACTCGCATCCAACAGTCAAATTTTAGCAGGACAGGCGGAGGTATTCAATTCCAGCAAGACGAGACGAGAATTAACGCAGGTGATCCTCGATGCAGGATCTGACCGTTCGTTCATTACTAATGCGCTGGCCAATCGCCCAATCAACTACGAGACAGTGATTCCATCGAATTAAACATTCACACATTCGGTGACCCAAGGCCAATTACTAGGACATGCGGAGTCACTACGTTGAAATTGAGGGATGCCTTTGGTTCGGAGCACGAAATTACGGCAACTAGAATTGATAAGATAACACAACCTCTTGAACGATATAATCTAAACGTAGAGGACACAGAATTTCTCGAGAACCATAAAATCAAGCTTTCGATCAATCCAGATCTTAACACTATATATCCAGAGACCCTTCTCGGATGCTCAGACTCAGTCACCATGCTTGATAGTGGATTAATTCCAACAAGAACATTGCCATCAGGATTGAAGTTAATCCCATCCAAACTGGGATATCTCGTGACAGGAACTCTCCACGATCGAATCGATACATCGAGAGAGAGTGCGTCTCTCATGACGGATGCCACACATGCATGTCAGCACATAACGGAAGCAGTCATGGGAAAGGTATTGGTCATTGGAATCATCAGGAATCCATGAATACACAGGACCAAGCGTACAAGAACGACAGCAACAGAACGACAATATCTGGGAAGAGTTCCAGAGAACAATAGAGAAACGAGAAGACGGCTATTATGTCCGGCTTCCTTGGAAAAATGAAGCAGACACGTTGCCAGATAACAAAAGCATCGCAGTAAAACGATTGCAGGCGACAATAGCGAATCTAAAGCATGATCCAACTACGTTCGAAAATTATCATAAAACCATCAAGGAACAACTGGATCACAACATCATTGAAGAAGTTGACGAATCAACACCAATAAAAGAAACGTTAATACATTACCTTCGACATCAAGCGGTCCTCGCACCCAACAAAGGGACTACAAAGTTGAGAATTGTTTACGATGCATCTACTCATCTCAAGAAGCACCCCTCGTTAAACGATGTATTTCATCAAGGCCCATTATTCCTACCAAAAATATACGATATTTTACTTCGGTTTCGCATCAGGAATATTGCAATAATTAGCGACGTCGAAAAGGCTTTCCTACAAATACGGCTGTACGAAACAGATAGAGACGCTACGCGATTTCTATGGATCCGAGACATCTCTCAACCTTTAGAGCCAAGGAACATAATCGTGTATAGATTTACACGAGTTACATTCGGATTGAATTGTTCACCATTCCTTCTAGCAGGAACAATTAGACACCACTTAAATAACTGTCAAAATAATCCTAAATTCGTCGAACACCTCATCAGTAACACTTATGTGGATAACGTGATTCTAACAGCCGCCTCAATACAAGAAGCAGTGTCGACATACAGAGAGGTAAAGCAGATATTCAAGGATTTGAATATGGATTTACGTGAATTTCTTTCAAATGACAAGGATTTTCTACAGCAAATTCCACAAAAGGATAAGGCATCAAGCAGTCTACAAAAGGTCTTAGGAGTCCCATGGCGTTCCACAGAAGACAAACTCCTTATCTCATGCAGATATCCAACAAAATCAAAACTAACTAAACGAACAATCGCCGCACAGGTAGCTGCTATATACGATCCTATGGGCTGGCTCACGCCACTCACACTAAGAGGGAAGCAATTCCTTCAAAGTCTCTAGAACTTCAACTATACGTGGGACAATCCCCTATCAAAAAAACACAAAGACCAGTGGGAAAAGATCGTTGATGATTTTAACGGGTTCGAAACCTTCATCCCACGAAAAATAGCCCAGATCGGAGCTTCAACCAAACTACTTCATTTAGAACTCGTACAGAACGTGACGACGAATGATTTCCTGCTAGCTTTAAGGCGATGATTTTTGCTAGACGAGGAGTGCCCAAAACTATCACCTCTGATAATGCATCTAATTTCCTACTGAGCGAACAAATTCTGCAAGACACAATTCTCCCCGTTAGTAACGACTCGTCACTAGCAAGTACAATGGAAACGAGAGGAGTAACATGGAGGACAATTACGCCGTACGCTCCGTGGCAGGGAGCATTTTACGAGCGTCTCATAAAGTCAGTCAAGTACTCTCTATACAAAGTACTGCAAAAGACGATCCCAACAACGGAAGAATTGGAAACCCTGTTAGTAGAAATACAGGGAAATCTTAACAGTCGACCACTCACATACCAAGAAGAAGGTCCCGATAACTTTGTTGCCTTGCGACCAATAGACTTTATCCAGCGTGACATGATAATAACATATCCATTTGAATTCAGCAGAGAAGAGGAAGATGATAAAACGTATCTACCATCCCAAGAAGCAGTATTACTACGCACGCGAAAGGAAGTGCAGGATGCCCTTGGATCAAGTCATAAACTGTCAGAACATTAGTGGAACATTTGGAGCCGAGAATACTTGAAAAGTCTCCGAGAAACTCACAAACTCAATATAAATAACAAACGAGGCACTCGAATAAACCCAACCATAGGGACGGTTGTACTAATTCATGAACCAGCTTTGCCACGAAATGCGTGGAAAATGGCGCGCATCATCGACTTGAAGCAGACAGAAACGGGTGCAATCCGAGAAGCACAACTCAAGTTACCGAGCGGACGTATCATAAGAAGACCAATTAACTTACTAATCCCACTTGAGCTGGAAGACAGTCCGGCAGAGAAACGGTCCGACACAAATGGTGAAACGGAGTCGCCGACTAACAATCTGCATAGCGCAGTTGGAATTCAAAGTCACCGTTATAATCTCCGACCTCGATCACGTGACAACAACGTGCTTACAATCTGTCAAAGATGTTGCTCCCAAGTCGAGGAGGATCAGGATCCGAAAAAGCATTATGAAGAAAACGGTCAAGAAGGAACGCGAATCGCTGTGCCACCACTATAACCTTCAATCACAAAACCTCAACGTACAACATCAGTCACCGCACAGCCCACTCCTATAGAGGTGAGGGACTATAGAGAATTCCTCAATCAGATGGAAAATTCTCTATCTGCATAACTAATACAGTCCACGAATCGAGGGCCCCCCAGATCAATCCCGCTGACGGGAGATTGCTGATGGCAAAAAGATCGATAGAACTAGCTGAGAGACATTGCACAGCGAAGGATCCGGATGGTGTAGTGGTGAAGTGCGCTGCTCCCTAGAAAGGACAACAGCGCGAGTTCGTTCTCCACCACAGACACCTGCGGTCCGGAGTTTTGCAAATATCTCAGCATTATATACAAGTTATATTTCGCAACATAACCTGCCATTAAAAAGAAGGCAGTAAATAAAAGGGTTAAGATTGTGATTATAACTAATTTTATGATTAATAATGCTCCCTATATCCGGTCCTGTAAAGGTGTAAAGGCTTTGACAGAAGGAACTAAAACCAACGCTCAGACAGTGATTCTAAAAGCTCAGATAGTACAATCCGATAGAGGGAGTTGCGTAGAACGTTTGTGAAGACTATACAATAGTTTATACAGACAGTAGAAGTGAAAGCGCGCAGTTGCTCATACGAAAGTTAGTTTGAAGGTGATATAAAGGCTTACACAGAAAGTGGACTGGAACGACAGATGCTGGAATGTACGTCCAGCTGACAGCTGCTCATTCAGTGCCCGAATTGTCGGACAAAGAAGAGCGGTGTATAGGAAGAAGATACAGAATCCCTTTCCAGGCAGCTGCGAGGCAGGTGCACGAGATAGTCGCTAAGAGACAACTTACAGAAAGTACAAGGAGTAGGATAATTACAAGTAAGCAGCTAATATAGGAAACATGAGCTAATGTAGAAAATAGGAACTATTCGAGGAATAGTCACTATAACTATTCTGTCCTATTAATCGTATATTTGCAACAATACGAGTCCAATGGAAAAAGGGGAAGAGATGACTCTAACAAACGTCTTCGGAATATTTACTCTAGAGATTTAGAACGCCTTCGAGCCCACTATTTCCATCGAAACAACACCGACACAACAATAACCACCCGCACCCGCAGACGATTCAGTTACTAACATCTTGATCGCCTCACGCCGACATATTCAGAACTATTGTGTCGGCAAACGTCGATCATGACACTAATAATATCGCCCTATTCACACGTCAAATGAGGAGAATACCCCAAGAATTCTGAGCTGCCTGCTTACTAAATCATACCATTTACCAACAGTTCAACTCGCAGAACGATAATAATCAGTATATTTTCGACATAGGCACAGCGACATAAATGATTGTATGTTTGCCTCTTTAATGTTTCATACCATCTAGTGGAGTACGGTTGTTAACTTATGTACTCTCAGTACAACTAGAGCAACTATTGCCAGAATAGTTACTATTCATTCATCATATCGTAGATCTGTGGCAACCATATTCGTGGCCTATAGCATCGCTTTGCGATCTTGCAGCATGTAAACGTTTTCACTTCGCTGTGAGAAACTTTGGTTGTCGTAAACATCCTTTGTGAAACACACTCTTTCAGTACAATCGGAACCCTTTGTGTGTTGCATCTGTTCCAAACCATCACGGATACGGTAACACAAAGAGGCTTGAAGCTGTCCGGCAAACCGTCCTCAGTCATCTGATCCCAGGGGAGCTGGAGACGCAAGCTGATGGGTGTTTTCGGTAAGGGCTCTGGACCTGTGCCAAAGCACCGCCTCCTCCAGAAGATATTTAAAGAACCCTATGCGTCAATACCATATTCGCCCCCTGTTTATCATGTGTAATGCGCCTTGTAGTCAATCCAAAGTGTTTTGTCTTGTTGTATGTGGTAACTGTTGTATATTAACGTTGCTGTCATGTAGTTCTGTACCTATAGCAAAGATACTAACCCGCATTACTCTCATTTATTGATAATGATATAGTATAGCAGTCTGTATTGTACCAATGTTTACATTTCGTTATTTTTGAACTATTATTGTTATGAACGGTTTAATTACCCAAATTTTAGATATTGCTCTGCGGTAAGTACGGAAAAGTGCCGCGTGGCAACTACTACGAAGTCGAGCATCCTACTCAAAGCTAGTGAACATAGCCGAGAACTGACTCGAAGACCTAATTTCCACTAGCAACTGCTATAACAACAATCTTATGTAGGAGTGGGGAGTATAATAACCAATGCCAGAACAGTTACTATTCTTTCATTTTATCGTATGTTTCTAGAGTGGAGGCACATCCACTGTTCACGTCGCTCTGCGATTTTCGAGTATGTAAGTGTCCTCATTTGTTATGCAAACACCTTTGTGTTTGGTCATGAGAGAGTTGGAAGCGATAGTAGACAAATGTTTTCGGGAAGAGTTCTGGACATTCGACAAATCACCACCTCCTACACAAGACATTTAAGTGCCCTCGTGAATCACTATCCTGTTCGTCCAGTTAGGAACTTTAAGACCCTCTGTTCATTTTATGCGTTACGCCATGTAGCTAATCCAAGGTGTTAACTCGTATTGAATGTTATCACAAGCAAACCAAAATGCCTCATGAGGTTCGCGCGTTGATCTTCTAGTCTCTCGCGAGAGGATAGCGACTTTTACTTCAAAATCTTCTCCGCTATGTTTTTATATCCCATGTGTGCCTAGTGTCGTGCTATGTTTGACTTTCGTTTGCCATCTAGGTGTTCTTTCATGCGGATACATAAGTCTACCCGTTTCGCGGATATATTCGTCTCCATAAGTACTACAAGAAATCAGGTATGTCGTACCTGAACTCATGCAGTCACCGTCCTTGCCTTAAGCGCAAATTACGCAATTTGGAGTTTCACACAGACGGTCATACAGGCCTTACGAGCTAACTGACGGCGTAGAGTATCTGGTGGTATTTCAACTATCGCTACCGATTCCTCTAGATCTGCCCTTCTTAAGCATCGGTTTATCGCTACACTTAACCAAACCTTTCGTTTTGGGGCGTCGCTCTCCTTCCAAACTTATCTCGTGGGGTTACTGTTTCGTAGCCATTGGAGAGGGCTATTTCCTAAGCCAAGTCGCGCGATTTCTCCTTTAGTTCCCTCTTCGCACACACAGAGGTGGCTGTTCGAAACATGTTCTCCACAGTCGCCGTCTATGGGTGATGACTGAGAAGAGAGGAAATGAACTAGTTTTTTATTACTTGGTTTTCGGTACCGCTTTGTCATGTAACCGTTATCTGACAAATTAATTTGAACGCTAATATATGAAAGCCAGTTATCCTTCGGTTTCCCCCGGATGAACTGAATGTACTCAAAATGTTCGTTCAATAATTCAAAGCATGTCCATCCCCTCCTGTGTAAAGGAGATGACAAAGCAGCCATCTATATATCTGCAGTAGATCACAGCCGGGGATCGATAAATAGTTTCTATTTTGGACATAAACGCAATAGAGAAACTCCGAGCAGCCGCTGTTCCATCGCGAACCTTCCCATTTGCGTATAGTATTTCCCAGACCATCTGAGGGTATTCTTGAGGTGAGCTGGAATATGTTTAGCAACTGGGTAAGTATTAGGCTCAGAAAGCAGATTAATTCATCCATTGGCCCGTCTACACAGTTGATAATGGGTCTAACATTGTAGAATGATGGATTGGTTAATATAAGACTATCAGCTGATACTAAATGTGTTTTAACAAGAAAGTATAAGACGGGGCATGTTGATCTTTCTATTTTATAGTGCGGAATAACTGATGATTCTAAGTCTACCGCCTTTGTAACTTTAACCCATTGATAAGAACGCTCTAGGAACAGGAGATGGTGGTAATGTCGACAGTTCTTGAATAGAGCAGACGACCTTGAAGTTCACACAAACTGTATGCAATCCTACGCACGGTTGCTTTAGAAATGGGTTGTGATGGTGGAAGCTTGGACTCAATTTAAATAGTGATCGCGCGCTTTCAGGTATGGTCATGCCCACAAATACAGTGACCCTAGATTTTCTTGGTGCATTATGAACCCAATTTTGACTACTATCATAATCGTAAATAAATTGCTTATGATTTCATAAAGCCGAGATATGCGAATTACTCAATAGATCCTCGAAGCTTCGTTGTAAGGTTATTTTTGCATAAGACCTAGTAGAACTGCATACCGACGTTGACCCACCAACTATTCTCCTCCAAAAGTGATCTTCCAAATACAAAACATAACATTGTTCATTTGTCACATACCTCTTCATTATGGCGAATATTTCGTTCTTTTTGCTTCGTAGTGCAGGATTTTTTCTCCTTGTAACATGAACGATATAAATAATCCCATCACCTGTATCAACTGTAATGCCGTTAAACGTCGAGTGACTCGATCAAACGCCAGTGAATCTTCCATGTCACTAACGGCTCTTGTCCATCGGTTGCCGTTCACACGCACCATGTGTCCGGCACACCTTATCTTCGACTGTTTGGCGTACAGAACGGCATCCTTGATTTTTGATCGTTGACGCAGGTCGGAGCTTCGGAACTCTTCTCTTACTTGTGTGACACGCGATACTACTAGCATCGCCCTTTTGAGTGAGCGTTCAATTATGCTGAGTGATCTTTCATCCTGATTATGCGGTGACCAGGTTTCCGACGCATACGTTAAGGCAGAAAGTACCACTGAGTTGAAAAGATGGTTACGGAGTCGGATGTTCTTTGTTCTCTTCACTACATCCTCGATACTCCTGAAAGCTTCCCAAGCCGCTCATTTCCTTTTGCTCAGCTCTGGAGCTAAGTCGTCCATCATGTTGAATTGGCGACCTAGATAAAAGTAACTGGAGCATTCAGAGATATTCGTTCCCTTAAACGTGAATGGGGCATACGTAACCAATCCGTTCCTTATGAACATCCCATAAGACCATGAAATAGTTGATTAGTGGTTCAGTGATAGAAAGCTTGAGTGCAACGTGGATGATTTGGGTCTGATTCCCGGCCAGTGATCCAATGTATGGACCAGTTCAGTAGAGAAATGCTTATTAGAAGCGAATAGATCCCCGTATTCCTCTTGTTTGCCCTGCTGGACCTTCTTCTTGAAAGATGAGCTCTGTCGGTTAGTATTGAACGAAGCGATCTTGTCGACAATAAACACCATCAAATTTTGGCCACGGACGAATAATGGAGACATGGAGAATTTGTCCCGGTATTTCGTTTTGCCGCAGCTACTACTTCTCTTATTTGCATAGTGTTGTCTTCAAACTTTTTCAAACGCACTACCAAAAAAATCCTATTGACATCATTTCATACTGAGATTTTCTGTAATTTCAGTAATGTAATTTCAATTCATCATTGTAGTGCCGAATTTCTGCTGCGGCCTTCAAAGCTAAACATAAAGCGTTCAATGGAGTCATTATAACTAGACCATTCAACAGGAATGTAGTAAACGTCCTCCCAGTGCTACTCATAAGAATTGTTTATGCAAGTAGTGGAATAATGTTACATCAAAGAAGGTATTGCCAGCTTGCCTAAACACCATCACGATATCCATTTTAGTTCTTAACCTATACCAGGCAATAAACCTCTCTAAGCTTCGTCCTAATAAAAATTAACCACAAGCAATTCAGCATGGCGATGTAGCGCTCAAACGAAAAGCATTATGTATTTCGTTAACGCCTATTATTAGCCCTTTCACAACGTATGCCATTATAACACAATTGAGATGCGTTTTGAAATGAAAACCTATGTTCCATGAGCTCGCGCAAGAGAAACGACACACATGTTTCTTAAGACTACCGTTCTATTCTTCAGCTCCTAACATTTTTCCCATTTCACTCTAAATTCTACATATCCAGTACGTTCTTCTGTCTATGTTCCAATGTTTTTGGACAACTATTATAGGTGATCTAACTCATGTATAATGAAAAAATCCTTGCATTACCTAGCCATGATGTTATTAGCATTCCGCATGGTCTGCGTGACAGTTGAAGTGTATTTCTCTGTCTCTTTCATATCTTTTACATCCACCGATTTCATTCCACCTCCCGAAACGGTTTTTTGCTAGTACAGCTGAGAATACCTATCCGTGGATCAATCCCAGTAAAAAATCTGTGTTCGGTAAATCACTGAGTGGCTACAGAGGTTAATGAAGGTGTTATGTGGTCAAAAAGTAACGTATCTACGTGAAAATATTAAAAAAGGAGCAGTTCTAGTCAATAATCTGCACTAAATAGTTGTTACAATACAAAAGGTTCAACCGTTTCGCTATCCTGGTCACCTTCACTTGGTTAGGCCGATCGGACGGCATGTTATTGAAGCGCACACGAGGTGCGCATTAAGATCAAAATGTCCGGTTGTGAAAGGGTTAACGCACGTTTATGCAAAGGTAATAGCACAAGGATGGTGATATATGGACAAAACTCCGAACCTCACCTGGCTTTCAAACACGCAATTACCCTAAACAAGGACTGACGTGCTATCCCCCACACCAACCTACGCTTCTGCTTTGCATTTCCCTCCCGGTAAGAGTAATCATCGGTCCGAAGCCTAAATGAGGTTACGTGTTCTGCTCATTTCTCAGCATCCTTTTGGTTGTATTTCACATCGTACTTTGTTGTAAAGAAGAAACAATCAGTAAATAGAAGCATAGTAACTATTCCTTAAATAGTTCCTATTCTCTCTATCACATGTCTCCTATACTAACTATTTACTTATAACTATCTTAACTCTATCCATTCATAATGTATAAATGTTTATACCGCTTCGACATGTGCCTTCGGCAAAAGCCTTTCTACAAGCTATTTCATCTCTTTCACATGACCTCTTGATAAACCAAAAGCCTTTGTACAAGCTATTCCTTCGCTATCTGATTAAGTTCTATGTTGACGAAGCCTCCGGTATACCGTCTCATTTGATGTACTTCTCCGCATGTACCGTGTCATGCCCTGAATCAGCACAATCTCTGACGCCTGAAAAACCCCACCCATTACAGACAGAATATAAGGAGCACCAGCAGTCATAGAAACTAGTGCCTGCCCTCCAATCCATTAGTGTCCGTCTTCCAATCTACCAGTGCCTGGATTCCAACCCACAGTGCTCGTCTTCCAATATTCCAGTGCTTATATTCCAGTTCCTCAGTCCTCCAACTCCAGTGTCACCTAGCTTCTTTAAAGTGTATCACTTGTTCTCATTCCAATCTCGCTCATATCCACCCAGCTAACCACATATCGTCACATATCACATATTATTGTACCGCTGTTATTGCTATAAACCCAGACTCGAGGTTGTCCACGGCACTTACGGAAAAAAGCCTCGTGTGGCGAATTCATACAAAGTCGAGCATTTCACGTACAGCTGGCGGACAAAAGACAAACCCGACCAACTCCCTAATCCACTGGCCAACTAGCACAAAAAGTTTGGAAATGGAACAGGCAGTAAATGAAAGTTAAGACGATACACAAATGTACCTAAAGTGATAGCCGTTTAAAATGCACGAAGCTCTGGCCAGCATCCGCTCCCGGCAAACATGGCCACCCTAACTTTGGGTTTCAGAAATTGGTAAAAGGGTGGCGACCACTCGTTGTGAAAACCTGACAACGCCCAAGCACGGATGACCGACGATTTCAGTGAGAAAGTGCTCAAAGAGCATTGAAAGGCATTCACAAATAAAAAACAAAATCCTAAAGAAGCAGATCAAACCACACACAGATCCGAAGAACTTCGTGGATGACAGATGAGGTAGAAAAACAAATGAAGGAAAATGCTGTGATTCAATGAAAACCATATTAGTAGAAACAAAAGCATTATAGATAGTCGATTCATCTCACAGTAAGTGGAAAACCCAAAGAAAATTTTATTCAGATGTCAATCGAACTCTTTCGAAACATATCTTAGTAATAGCGTAGCCCCTAGACATCAGCGCCTCATACGGTCGTCAATGTGTTAAAGGTAAACTACTCCTAACCCGGAGATATTGGTCGCGAATAAACATATATACGAGCAAATTGAAAAAGGTATAAGCTTTTACCAAGGAAACACAAAATAATCTAGAAATATACGACAGGAGCCTTGCTCACAGAAAAAACCCAGAGAATAGAAGTTGCAACCTTCTTCGTGGAACAATTCCTTTAATATATAGCATTTCTGGCATGAATATTTTCATTGATAGTTAAAAATAATGACCTAGATGTTATATAATTCTGAAATAGAAATAGAGAGAAAATAGAAAAAAAAACTTGAAAGACGGCAGCAAGGAAATGAATGGTTATCAAAGTAACTCAAAACTCAACAAGAAATACCTTTCAGTAGTCTCAACCGTAACAATCAAGACATGAAGTCACCTCTTCTGAGCACTTTACTCATGTACGGTCCATCTAGCACGTAACCAAGCTTCCTGAAGGAAATCAGACATTACTTCAATATGGAAGACTTCATCTATGTTTAAAAAGTTATCTTTATCTCTAATTCATTAAAATAATGCATTCCAAATCAACTAAAGTAGTCTGATATTTTGGGCTATTGGTAAACTTCTAACGTTATATTCGATTGCAAAACTTCTTAAATGAAAAGTTGATTTTGAAGCCTGTTTAAAAAAAGTATCCAAATTTGAAAACCTCGAATATTTGACCATGTAGATAGGGCCTACTTTAGTAAACATGAACATATCAAACAACATATTCACAACGTGTATTGACATCAGTGCGCAATGATTTCAGACCATTTTCCTTACAACTATTTCCTTTACCACACGAGTTTTTTTCGAAACACTTTTTGTACTACCATGGTGTAGTGACGGCTGCGATGGATACACCTGCGCTGTAGTGATCGTTGACACGCTCACTATGTGGCAATTCAGTGATGAGAATACTAGGTTGTAGTGAATATTAGTGTAGAGACTATCGACTAGTTGTTGTTTCTATTCGACTCTCAAAAGTAGATTTGCTTCGTGATTTTTATTATTTGATAGTTATAATACAGGTATTTACCTTTGGACGTTTGAAATGCTGTGAATTGAGAGTCAAGAAATAGGAATTGTAGTTCTATGATACTACAATTGATCTGTAGGCTTTGACTGCCAAATGAACCAACGACTTGTGTTCTACGTGAGGGTTTTGAAGGCTGACTTGCTCCTTTGTATGCAGCGCCACATCGTGTTTAACTGTTAAATTCGACGAACTGTATCTACTCGTTCTTCGCCATGCAGGTCTTGTGGTCGTTGTCTTCACAGCGTAAATCTCTAACTTGGATAATTGAACCGTTTATACCAATATAATAATAACGAAAAGAAGATACTGAAACAGTTTAAGTAGCGCGATGATAACAGGATTACTAAATAAGCATAAGACAATGAATAAGAAGTCACCTTGAGGTAGGAGAGTAGTTTTATTGGCTATTGTGTTAATATGAGAAAGAGGTTTCATATAAAAATACAATTTGACGTAGAAAGGTGAAGAGCATATGGTAGTGCGCGCACCAATGGGAACAGATAGTTGTTAGCGTGAATGGCATACTGTAATTAGCTACCGTACTAATAGTAAGGAATGTGTCTAGTTCAATGAGATTAATGTGGTAGGAGATACATATAGGAATAAAACAGCTTTAATGCACATGTTATTATTAGGATGGTAACAAGTGTAATGTGCAGCAGTGACTATTACTGCTTATATTTATGGACAGCTTAACCACTGAGATCTTCAATGTATGATGAAGCGGAAATGTGAAGAAAAAGACGATGCACAAGCCAATAAGATGTTAACATACAACAAAACTACAAAATGTTGCACAACCCTTACAGATACAATGAAAAGTATGTATACTAGGGAAGGTCCGTGACTGTCTAAGAGATTTCCTGCAATGAAGAACAGTAGAGCAATTGTATGACAAGAGGTGAACGAAAGTGGCATGTGGCAGGAACGCCGACGTGTGAGCCTTACCAGCAGACCACGATCCTTCTATACTGCCTCGAGGAGCGGGCAGATAGATACTGTTGTTGACCCTTGCGTCGTCCTCGTATATAACAATTATGGTGGCGAAGGAATAAACAATATTGTGTTCCATTTGGTATTCAAGATATATGATATTGTTTATACCAACATATCCTTTATTCTTGACAGCCTCAATTTGTGGAGAGATGTTGTTTATCGTTGGTGACCGCTCTTGTTGTGCGGATAGATGCTAATTATCATTAGGTGACCCGATATCGTTGTTATCGTTCTTGCAGCTAATTCTTTGTCTGGCTAGACGTCAATCACTATCAGAAGATATTTAGAATAAAGTTACTGTAGAGGATATTATTCTCTACTAGATAATGTTTATTGGTTGACTTGTCGACACATGGTGACTTTCATGGAAGGTGTTCCATCCGGTGCAATCAGAGCACAGCTATCTTCTATGCATCATTACCTGTATCACCTATCGTCCCGTCTACCGTAGAGTCACTCGAGCGGTTTCCAGTAAATCTTCCACTTCTCCCTATCGCGTGCAAGAGTATCGCAGTGGGTTCCGCTCAGTTCGCTCTAGGAACACGTGGAGCATCATATCTTTCTTCTGCGATTTTCCTAAAAAACTCCGACCAACGGTTCGGTAGTGTTCTAGCTGTGGGTTTGACATCTCGAGGAATTAAGTTGTTAATGGATCTTATCCAGCAATTATCGTTCAGACGCCTTATGCGTCCAGCGCACCTAATTTCCGACATTTCGGGCATAGAATAGCGTCTCTGATTTTTGATCGTTGTCGTATGGTGACGAAATTTTGGATCATCTCTCTCACTAATGTGATGCAAAGTACTAGCATCATACTCTCTCCACGTTCGGAATCGAAGAACAATCTTTAATCTTACTTACGCATCGATCGAGATTCCGACGAGTAGGTTAAAATAGAGAGAATCATGGTGTCGAAAACATGGGCACAAAGTCGAATGTTTTTTGCTTTCTTCACTAAATCCTCGATACTCTCTAAGCCGCTCGCTTACTCATAATCAACTCTTGAACTAAGCCTTCCATCATGTTCGCTGCCCGAGGGAAATAAAGGTAACCAGAGTCGACTTTTTTATTTACTGCCCATTCCCATTTTCACGGCAGGATATTATTGTGACATAGCGACAATGGCGCTGAGATATTTTCAAAACTCCGAACAGGTGTCTGCGGTGGAGAACGAACCGGCTATTACACTTCCCGAGGTCAACGCGTTCACCACCACACCATGCGGGTCCTTCGTTTCGCCTGTCTCTCAGCTACTTCTATCGATCAGTACCATCAGCAATCACCTGTCAACGGGATTGATCTGGGAAGCCCAAATCCGCAGCGACCCCAGTTATTAAGCTGATGCTGTAGTCGAAATCACAATGTTGATTTTTTCATTTGCTGCCCATTACCACTTTTCACGCGGAATATTATGTGTGATACAACCACAATGGTGCTGAGATATTTGCAAAACTAGAGTATTCAGAGATATTCATTTCGTTCAGCTGAGCGGAACATAGGAAGCGAATCCGTCTCTCATGAACATCGCTTTTGTGAGACTTATTGGAACAGCAAACCTCCCACAAGCGTTATTAAAGTCGGCTAGCATTCGTTCTAACTGGTTAATGCTTGGTGTTATAAAACGATGTCATCATTTAAGCGAAGATGGTGTAATTGCCAACCATCGATTCTCATTCCCATGTTGTCCCATTTCAATGTTCGCATGAGGTTCTCGAGAACTGTTGTGAATAATTTTGGGGAGATGGTATCGTTTCGCCTAATCCCTCTTTTGATGTCGATGTTAATACCGTTATAGAATGGTGATATTGTGGTTGTAAAATTTCTACACAGGTCAGGAAGAATCCTGATATACTGAGTAGATATGCCCAAGCTGTCTAGGACTACCATGGCTGCTTCTGTATCAACTAAGTCGAAAGCTGAGATATCTTAGCCAAGTAGGACTTGTCAGAATAGGTGGGAAATAGTCCCTCTGGAAAAAAAAAGTTTCGAATTGAATCTGTATCTTAGATATCTCCTATTTAGACATTTCTCTTTTTGCGCATAATGGTTCTTAACAAAACTCCATAAATTCTTGAATATCAATTGGGTTCAATGTGTCAATGTCGGTGGCAACTACAGTAGAAACTTTTGTTTCCATATAGGTCAATTCAAATACTACCCTACCGTGAAAAATTATGGTAGGCAGCAGATAGAAAGGTCAACATTGTGATTTCAACTGCAGCTTCAGCCTAATTGGATTCAATGCCGCTTTGCGCACACCAGATCAATCCTGCTGACGGGTGATTGCTGATGGCAGCGTTAGGAAGAAAACTAGCTGAGAGAGACGCAAAGCAAGAGCCTCAGTGAAGCAGTGTGCAATATGCGAGCCCTCGGAAAGGGTAATCGCGGTTCGATCTGGTCCAGTGTCCAAGTTCTGCAAATATCCCAGCATTGTTATGGTTGTATTTCACATCATGCCCTACCATGAAAAATTATGGTGGGTAGCGAATAAAAAGGCTAACATTAAGTCGAAACTTTCTTTAAATCGAAGGAAGTGAAATAGAGCAATCTCTTGTATTCTTGCGATACTTCAATGAGTCATGTTGTTGTGCGGATATAGTCTACCGTACTAAATCCTTTTCGAAACCCTGCCTTCTCACGTAATTATCCTTCCTACATTGTATCATCAATGTTGTTCAGGATGATTACACGTCATAATATATAGCACACCATTACTAGGACGATTTCTTAGTCTTACAATCTTCATGGCAATTCCCGGTTTTACTGTACAGGAAAAGTAGTAAAGAAGACTTCAAAACGAAGATAATATGAAGACAAAAACATTGGAGACATTTAGGACAACAACCGTTGAGTTCAGAACATACTGCACGTGGCACAAAACCTTGATCTCATACTTTTATGCCACTCTTTCATGAACTGGACAGGATCCCGTACGACTTCCACTTGACTACTTACTCGACGAACCCAGGAAGTTGTAAATAAAAATAAGTTTACACATTCGGAAGGACAAAACTGATTAGGGAATCGAATACTGTGGAGTCATCGGAGGTTTCGACTATACTCTGTATAATCACAAAGCCACTGATATGGTTTTATCTTTACGATAAGTGCACGATAAAATAAATGAAGTGCTAAGGCCATGATGGTAGACGGATTTCTGTAAAAAATATTGGAAATATGCAACAGCTTCGAAAAGTCCCCCTAATTTTCCAGAAAGTATAGTGTAAGAAATATAAGAAATCAATCGAATAAAGAAGACGAAAAGAAAGATTCCATCGTGCCTTTGTTAGCTGGAAACCATCTACTTTCCTACATTTCATGGATCCCTTTGCACAATTATTAAGAATTCTGACCTGTAGTAATCCCTTGTGCCAACACCAGAAATGACAACGATCTTTTCCGATTTGTGCTCAAAATAGGCAATACGCGCCGCCTCTTCCATAAGTAATTGACCGAAACCCTAAAATAAAATATACTTTAACTGGCAGGGCGCGTGTGGCGTAGTGGTTGGAGGCGCCACTGCAATGCACACGTGGAATCGATACTCGCCCATGGTTCACCAACCCTCCCATACCTCCGGTGTCAGCAAATTGATACCAGACTTGTCTGGGAGGATAGCAGCACTGGCTCGATACATCAGCAGGCCACCGCGAGTCAATGTAAAGACCAGATATGCATTCAATCACCTCCAACGATACTTAGTGAAGTCGAATGTATGGGGCATCATTCAGGGATTGATCAACGCCTGGAGCTTTATCCTTTAACCGGCAGGGTCTCCCAAGCCGAGAAGAAGTCCGGCGTTTCCATCATGAAGCCTAGCTAAAAGTAAATTAATACCAGTACCAGGATCCACCACCGCCCTGGTATCAAACTTGTCCCATGGTAGCCAATCTTCCGCCGATCCACAACAGCCGCGACTGCCTGTGGTGTTGACGACACGGGGCGGACTTTGGTTAGGCTGACCTCGGGACTCCATGGAAACACAATGGCTAAACCAGTAAAACTCCTAGAAGAACATGCTGGGCACGCACAATCGATGACGGTGGGCCGTCCGAGTATCCAAGTATCCAAGTAATATGCTTTTACTGACCTACCCTCCAATTTCACAAAGAAAAATAAAACAGAAAAAGGCCCTAACTTATGGTGTCAAGGACGCAGTAGTCTTTATAGTAGAAAGAAATGTTTTACTAAAACCATGGCTGAGTTGTAAATTTAGAGGAAGCGATCACCTGGTGCTGAAATTTTAAAGGATCTCTGTCTGAAACAGATACTACACAGCCGTACACATGAAGTTCTCGCACTACTGAAGTTCGACCCTAAAACATAAAAAAAGCGGTTAAAAAACGAAAATAACTAATTTCAAGTAGATGCCAATTTATACTAGGCGAAAAAGTGATGAAAATGACAAAATGAACATAAAACAAATGTAGATAAAACTAGAGTCGTCTACAAGAACTACTACTACATCTAGAAACAGTTCCAGTCAGAAATAAAGTGCCACAATTTCGCCATCACTAAAACCACTAATACACACAAAGAGTAATAGTTGTTAACTACCACATGAGACTCACTTTCAACTCAGATCGATGTGCTTTATCTGAGATTTTTCTCAACCGCAGCAGGCCAATCAATATGTCCTTGAAAAAAAACACTGTCGTCTTTGGAAATCTTGAGCAAATTGAGTACCTCACTTGATCTGGATCTTCATACGATAAAAACGTTTCCCAACCGCCATTTGCAACGTAGTCCCTTCGAATAAGTTCGACATCATATGGGCGAATTTTGTTGTGGATTTCCTAAGTAAGAAAAGGCGAATGTTATGGAAAATCATTCCTGTAGTAAGTAGCTTACAATATCTGTATCAAGATATCCGCACTGGATGAGCTTCCTGCTAATATGTGCATGAATGTGAATGAAGAAAGATTAATGGAGACAAATTATGCAACTGAACTTCGTATGTTTAGAACATAACGCACCTGAATTCCAACCTCCCTAGTTCTTACATCACGACATGCTAATCCAAGCTGTTTCATGCGCGCCAATGCATGTTCTCGAAGGTTTCCATGTTCTACTCCACTTGACACCTTAGAAAAAGACTATCCACAAAAATGTTCCAATTATTACGATGATTCCTCACCAGAGGCATGGGAATGTCGCGCTGAACTCGATAGACACGTGTCCATGGAGGCACGATCGAAAGTATACGTGCTATGAGATCAACCAATACCGATGGTGGATAACTCTGCAAAATAAAACCAGTGAAAACCGTTTTTGGGATAATATTTTTTTAATAAAAAATCGACGTATCGCAAGCAGCTTTTCCCCACTCCCATTGAAGTCCGCATAATAAATTTAATAAAGAAATGTCGAGAAGTGCAATTCAACAAGTAAAACGAGAAGCATAAGTAAACGCAGTGAAAATGATATTCACTAAAGTGTAACTCACTTTATATCTTCTAGTCCGCCACAATTCATACAACCCTGTACCTCTGATAACGAGGGTAGGATACAACTTCAGACCATCAGGACGAAAATCTGGATTCTAAGAATGTTCTTTATTAATTCTAGCAGTATGATGTTCTAGTAATGATAGCCATCTCAAAATGAAGGCTAAAAGTTAAAAACCACAACTAAATGCAAAAATATGTTAAGAAACGACTTTTAAATGGGATGATAGACAAACTTCGAATAGTTCCACGAATTGTTCTATGTCGCGTTCTAAGCCAACATTTGGGAGGTCAGGCATCATATGGATTACCACTTTATAGCCAGTGTCTTTTGACATATGAAAAGTCTCACAGACCGCTTTAACCTTGAAAGAAGTACTTTGGAAATTTTCACTTAGCAACGAAAAAGTAGCTCAAAAATAAATAGAAGAATGAAGGTGTTTTAAATGGCAATGATAAAGACCTAATCATAGAGATCTACGTAACGCATCGCCCTACCACGAAGAAAAAGATGGTAACTTACGGTATGGCCTCTATTAGTATCTCGTGCAACATCCTCATAGGTTGACTGAACTCCGATCTCTAACCTGGTACATCCGTAAAGAAGCATGTCATTAAGATGACGCGGCATGCAATAGTCTGGCCGTGTTTCGATGGTAATACCAATGCATTTTATCTTGCTGCGCTCAGAGTACGCGACTGCCTTAAATTACATTGAATAATCATAAATCTATGAATAACTCCATCAAGTGATGAAATAAAAGCACAAAGATCTTGGCGCTGCTCAATCCCTGAAGGATGCGCCATGAATTCGACTTCATCAAGCATCGCTGGACGTCAATGAATGCATATCTGGCCTTTAAAATGACTCGCGTGGCCTACTGATATATGGAGCCAGTGCTGTTGTCCTTCCAGACAGGTCTGGTACCAGTTTACCGACTCCGAGGGATGGAAGGCTTGGTTAGCTTTGTGCGCGGAAATCGATTCTACATGTGGCAAGGCGACTCCGATCACTGCTCTACATGCGCCCATAGTGGTGAAATAACAGTAAGAAATGCACCATATCTTGTCGAAAAGAAGAACTATGCAGTATTAAACCATTTGCGAAAGTTCAAACTTTTATTTCTCACCTCCTTAACATTATTTGAAGTATGACCACTAAGAGCGTCGTGCAGATTACGGATGAAACAGTCTCGGTAATCATCTGGTAGAGACATGAACGTACCACCCATTACTATGAACTCAACCTGACGAAAAAAACCACTGTGCCACCATTATTCTATTTCTCAGTGGCAATAGGTTAAGATAAATAAATGAGAGAAACCGTAACAAAACATAATTGAAAAAGTAATTAATATTGATAACACCAATTATTTAGAATGCCAACTCACGCTGCATTTCTCACAAATAAGTAATCAGCTACCAAAAAAGGCTTGGGAAGCAATGTAAGTGGTTCCAAACCTTATCGATGGAATGTCCAAGCTGCATAAGTTGGGCAATTCTTCCTCGTGTTTGCAAATAGGGATCATACCTGAAGTCAAAAATTACCCATATCCTTCATCACCACATCTACGAGATTCGAAATCTTCACAGATTATTCTGAACTGCAATGAAGTACCTCGCCCTAATGGCACGCATGCTTGTTGGTTCGTATCCGGTATAGCTCTGCGTTGAATACTCAAAATCTGAGTCAGGACCACCAGGACAATATACACATACGTTTCCGGTGAAATTGATATGAGGACAACGATGAGGTTTCGACATCACTGCTACAACAGCAATTCCAGAAGCAGTTCGTACAGGTTTCGCCTTCAACTTGGGCAAAAGTACATCCTAAAAACTGATCAATAACGAGGTTGTAGAAAAGAAACAAGATTACCTACGTCAACAGGAGCATAACACAATGACATTTCTCTATACCGAATTAGGAGATAGTCGCTAGTCCTCATTAAAAAAGAGGATAAAGCTTTCGGCGTTGATCAATGCCTGAGGGATGCGCCATGCATTCGACTTCATTAAGCATCGTTGCAGTTTATCGAATGCATGTCTGGCCTTTACAACATAACTCGCGGTCCCTATCGATGTATCGAACCAATATTGCTATCCTCCTAGACAAGTCTGGTACCAGTTTCCCGACCCCGGAGAGATGGATGGCTGGGTGAGCCTGGGGCGCAGAGATCGAGCCCATTTATACAGAGCGCCTCCGATCACTGCGCTACACGCGCTTTAGTTTCAATCAGAAACATAAAATATCACTGGAGAACAAACCTTGAATTCATTAGGGACTCCAGCAATTATATCAACCAATTTTGGCTGCGAGGTTAGACCATATTTCTGTGCGATCTAAAAGGAATTTACGATTTCTGGGCTATGTCTACCAGTAAAAAGATTCACAAAAAAAAAAAGAAAAGTGAACAGGATTCACAACAACAAACTATCAAAGAACAGAAGTACATCGATAAGTGAAAATCCCAGTCATTTCTTGGGAATCGACGAACGGAAATAGGCAAACACCCAATCGACATTCGCATTATTATGGAAATTAAGAACTTCCAAACAAGAAAACTCGAATAGTACAACAAGGAAACTCTACAGGGAGAAATCATAATTGAGAAATGACGAAAAGTTCGCTCACTAACCACACATTTCAACCGATTCAGGTTCACATCACGACGTTCTCGATGAGCTTCGACAAGATGCGCCACGATTTCGTTAATCGTCAACGTCATCGCTTCACGTTGAGATCGTTGAACGCTTGACACGGTCATTTCACTGAAAGTTGCCAATGTAAAAGTAGTAAGTAGGAAAGTGTAGCACCATGGGAACAACGCATATATGAGATTCGGACAAAATGAACTCAAATCGGGAAGGTGAACGGCTCTCGAATGGGGAGGAGCGAGCGCAGACGATGACCGTCATTCGACGACAAGCATCGTCCAGGTTTGAAAACGGAACGTCCGGGACCAATACTTGAATAACACAAAAGACCGACTTTCTATAAACCTCGGCATACATAATCAACACATTTGTTTACGTGTTTTCATGAACTGATCTTGTTGAGCTGATGCGAGCTTGATGGGAGTCCCACCCGTAACGGCATGGCTCTGAGGAAGACGAAATCGCCGAAATGTCAGCCAGCGACCAACAGCGACAACAATAGCAACAACAACTATACCATTGTCGCAACAGCTCAACAAGATCGGTTCGTAAAATAGTATGAATAAACAATACTTGAATATTTCGAAGCACTAACGATTGAAGAGCGCGTGTGGAGCACTGGTCCGAGGCGCCCTGCGACATACACGTGGGATCGACCCCGGCACCCATCGCTTACCAAGCCTTCCATCCCTCCGGGGTCGGCAAATTGGTACCAGACTCGTCCGGGGGGATAGCAGCATTGGCTCGATACATCGATAGAACACCGCGAATCATTGTAAAGGCCAGATATGCATTCATTCATCTCCAACGATGCTTAATGAAGTCGAATACATGGCGCATCCCTCAGGGATTGATCAACGCCGAGAGCTTTTTTTAGCGCTTTTAACAATTTTGAAGTGAAGAGGCAGAGTGCAGAATGAATTGTGTGTTTTATGTTTAGCAGCTCTTAAAATTGCGTATGTTACGGCTATATTTATTATTTATTTATTGGATGAGCAGTTGGGGTGGTGATAGCATAGTGGTTAATGGTGCCGTCGATTTGGCGCTTCAAAGGTGCTAATTCAACATTTTCCACGACACCCTCCTCTAATCTATGTGGAAACCCCTTAGCCCGGCTATCTCCAAGATTGCAAGGAGATTCGACTCGACCAGCATTCTGTGACATCCATAAAGAGAACGAAATCCTCAAGCAGTATCCGATACGACATGTGAAGTATTCGAAGACCTTTATGGACGGTGAATACAAGGAAAACGAATCGAACGAAAGAAGTGCTTGGATCTGCACAATAGATGTAGTGACGGACCATGTAAAGAAAAATATGAGCCGACATCACATCTACCGTTTGGTTCCCAGTCCTTGCAGTCGCTTCGCATTCATCGTCCACTAAGGTCTTCGATATTTTCGCTTATCCTTTCTACTCCTGCTTGAGGATTTCTCTCCTTTATGAGTGCTGTAGAATTGTGACCAATAGATCCTTATTGCAATCTTGGAGATAGTCGGGCTATAGCGTTTCTAAGTGGATTTGAGTATAGGTTTGGGAAGGAGGTCGAACTACCTCCTTTGCTTCCTGATCGACGACATCAGTTGCAACTGCGCTATCCTCCCCCGTTACTGTTACAGCTATACTTACTTGGATACTTGGACGGTCCCTCCTCACGAGTTGTGTGGACTCCAGCAGTCGCAATCATCGTCCATGGTAATGGTTTTATTCGAGCATGGTGGCAGATGCGAGCCTTATACCGTGATCTCCAAAACAACTGCATCTACGAGTTAAGATGTTTGACTTTAGTTAAGAACCCGTCCCTCTAACGAGTAGGCTCCTTTGCTTCCTGATCGATCGTCATAAAGGATGCCTGCATCCTCGTGGAGTCTACTCTACACTTTTCTTCGTCCATCTGTCGTCTATTCTTTTCATTATATGACCGGCTCATCTCTGCGATCGATGTGCGTTCTTCTGGGCTTTGAATATAAGATCGATTTCAAAATCAGAACTTCGCATTCCAACAGTACGTTGTATTTGCCGGTCACATTTCAGAAGACATCGTTCAAACGCTCTGTGAACAATGCGTAGTGTTCTTAGTGAGGGCTTTGAGGAATGGTGTGTATTAGTTGGTACAGTGCGGTATAGGACTTCGGGTCAGTCTTCTGGGCAGAATAATTGCTAACTCGAAGTAGAACACTCAATTCTGTACAAGTTTGCCACGTTGAACTCTTACGCAGGCACAGAGAACAATCTCATATTTGGTATATTAGTGTTTATAGAATAACAACACAATATTAACAATCTGACGATATTTAGTTGAGCGAACGGGCACGAGCGAAATTGCGAAAAGAACTAGTATAACACTTCAACGAAGCTGGACGAAACACGGGAACACTGGAACACTATCTTTGTGCTCCTTGTATCCCTTCTGTAATAGGTGAAGCTTTGACAGAGGGAACTAGAGACAGTGCTCAGACAGTGGTTCTAAAAGTTTCTCAACTAGTACAGTCCGATAGAGCTACTTGCACAGGACGTTCGTGAAGACTATACAATAGTTTATACAGAAAGTAGATGTGAAAGCGCGCAGCTGCTCATACGAAAGTTGGTTTGAAGGTGACAGAAAGGCTTGCACAGAAAGTTGATTGGAACGACAGATACTGGAATGTACGTGCAGCTGACAGCTGCTCATTCAGTGCCCGAACTGTTGGACAAAGAAGAGCGGTGTATAGGAAGAAGATACAGAATCCCTTTCCAGGCAGCTGCGAGGCAGGTGCACGAGATAGTCGCTAAGAGACAGCTTACAGAAAGTACAAGGATAGCTGCAGGATAATTACAAGTAGGCATTTAATATAACACATCTATGCTAATGTAGAAAATAGGAAGTATTCGAGGAACAGTTACTGTATGGTGAGCTTAAAAGGTGAGCACGTAGTTTGTCTGCTGGCTGTTGAACGGTTTGTTTGAGAGGCCTGAATGCAACCAATGCTGCTGTCCTTCTTCAATCCAATCCCTCCTCTAGGTTCACTGCACGTCCAAGGTATACGTACGAAGTGGTCTCTGTAATCATAGGACCATGCTCCTCGATTTGTTCGCCTTCGTACCATGTGTTTTTCACTAACTGGGTGTTCGTCCTCTTTATGCGCAGTCCTATCTTTTTTCCCATTTCGTTGAGGTCATTGGTAATCGTCTCTGTTTTGTCTGTGCTCCTCGGAAATATGAAGATATAGTCGCCTGAGCGGACATTTGATAGCAGTTTCCATCAATACATATGCCTTTCTCGTCTTAATCAAGTAACTTCATTATCCACTACAATGCGGCAGTAAACAGCTTTTGCTGTTATCTTATCGAATCCCTTTTCTTATGGGCATGGAAAGAGATCGATGGAAAGGCCGTATTCTCGCGGTGTAGTTACGTTAGCAATGAGTCAGTGTTCGTATATAGGACGAATCCACTTCTTGGTCGACGAGCGCTAATAAGACTGTACTCGTTTCGACGCAGCCGACGATAGTAAGCACAAAGGGCGGATGGTACTCCCGACAGGATTCTATGACTCTTGCCATGGTTCGCCTGTGGCCCATGCAGCAAATTCCCTGTCGAAATCAGCAGCTTGCTCAACTGACTATATCTCATCCAATTCGTTGATATGCGCGACAGGATAAACTTCGTGATGGGCTTGTAGAATTGCACTCAACAAAGCCGATTGGTCGATAAAAAAGATAAAGCTCTCGGCGTTGATCAATTCCTGAGGGATGCGTCATGCATTTCACTTCATCAAGCATCGTATAGAGGTAATTGAATTCCTATCTAGCCTTTACAATAACTCGTAGTGGCCTATCGATGTATCGAGCTGCTACCCTCCCAAACGAGTTTGGTGCCAATTTGCCGACCCCGGAGGGAAGGAAGGCTTGGTGGGCCAGAGGCACGAGGATCGATCCCATGTGTGTCACAGGACTCCTCCAACCGCTGCGCCACACGGGCCCTTTATTGGTCGATAGCTGTGAAAATCACTTCATTCACAATTTTTGTGTATAATTGTGTAGAACGAGCATGTGTGACGTCGTCCACTGGTCTGGGATTTATTGCTTTTGACTGTAGGATGTCATATAGGTCGCCAGAAGTAGGCATAATTTGTGGTCGCCAGCTCTAAAGAAATCGGGGATATTATCGTCGAGTGCTGGAGCTGTGCATGCTTTCATGCTTTCCATTGCAACTCAAACATCGGAGGAAAGAACTCTAGGTGGTTTTTCTCCAGCGGAAATATTATGGTCTGGGACGGGGATTATGAAACTGGGAGGGTTGGTGTAGAGCCCTTCCGCTATCAATTCTATATCACGCTAGAAAGTATTTGTGACCCTGTCTTCGTTCCTAGAGCGAGTAGCGGAACATTATAGTCGCAAAGATCCCGACGACACTTTTCCGGGTTACAACGTTTCTGGACTGCTCTCAAAAACTTTAACTTCCAATAATGATGTGGATGCTTTTGCAAAAATCTTCTACGGCTAGCATTTATTATTAGCCGCGTTGGGTGTGTTTCCCTTCTCGAACAACTTTTTGGTGATAATGAAGATGCGATCTGATCTTCTTGTTGAGGAACTGAAGCGAATTTGGCACAACTTCTAAGCTCTTCGACATGCAGCTCGTAGCCCCTTCGGTCGGCTCTTTCTCAATCTTCCAGTCACGTTCAGCTAAGATTTTGTTCAGAATGTTCTCGTCATATGCAGCTGAACTTTCTCCTCTTGGTCAATGACATGAATTTTTTTCCAGCTTACGGCTGAATTGAATCTTTGTACGAAGAAGGCGGTGATCGAAACCAGCACAGAATTACGTGACTACCGATGCGTCAAGTAGGCATCACCTTCTGTTCCTCAAAATATGGTCGATCTCCGCATGAGTCATGTCGTACGTCGTTAGTCGTTAGTCGCACTGTGTTCACTACTTTTAAAAAAAAGTACTAATGAAGAATATTCGTGCATCAAAGGTCGGAAAAATGGTAAAGCGTTCGGCATTGGTCAATCTATGAAGGATGCACCATGAAATCGACCTCAGAAAGCACCGCAAAGACGATTGAAAGTGTATCTGGCCTATTTAATGACTTGCAGTGGCCTACCGATAATGTATTAAATCGT